TCACTGCACAGCATGGGGGGCTTGGAGTCATAAATCAGTTTTATATGAGACTATATTTTAAAGGGGTCATATGATGCGATTTCAAGTTTTCCTTTCTCTTTGGAGTGTTACAAGCTGTTCGTGAATAGATAAGATCCCTAAAGTTGCAAAGACTAAAGTCTCAAACCCAAAAATATATTCTTTATAAAAGTTAAGACTCGTCCACGCCTTCCTAAAACGCCTCGTTCAAACACGCCCCCACATGTCTACGTCACGATGTGGGAAGATTTGCATAACGCCGCCCAAATGTTCATGCAAAGAAATAAGGCGTAACTTTATTGTTGCTGCCACCGCCGCCACCAGTTTGTGAAGACAATGTGTGTTTCATTGCGAAAGCGAAAATACTTTGTTTGGCCTTCCAAAAGAGGACACGACTAGAAATCAGTGGTTAGGTTGTATTTACAACACTGTTCCAGAACAGTTCAACCCAAATATTCAGATGTGTGCAGCGCATTTTACGGAGGACGAGGACTGTTTCCTGGGAGAGTAGCCGCCGGTGTTCCGGTGAATTCAGTTCCCGTTTCCCCAATATACTAATAGTGTGCTTGTGTTTAGCATATTCCTTAAAAGTGTAACTAAAAATATATTTATTGCCAAAGTATTTCTAGTATACTTTTTTATAAATACATTAAAAGTATGCTTCTGTTTAGCATATTTCTTAGAAGTATAACTAAGTATATATTTAATACAAAAGTACTTCTAGTATACTTTTTAGAAATACATTAAAATGCAATTCAATATATTTTTATTGCACTTCAAATAAGCATGTTGGGAATACAAATGTATTATAAACATACTACTTGAATTTCAAGTATATTTTTAATACATTTTATACTACGTCTTTTTCACCTGGGTCTTTATGCGCCAAGAGCTTGTAACACTTCAAAGAGAAAGGAAAAATTGAAATCGCATCATAAGACCCCTTTAATATCTGTGTTTTGCACAATGAGTGTGAAAAAAAATTCAGAGTCATGAAGTCTTTGGTATCGTAACTTAAAAGCATAACAGTGGTACTCAGAGGTACGGCAGAGTCTTTAAACCTTTTAACCTTTCTGTACTAAGACTCCCCAGTGGCCTGCCTGGCATTTGGGCCTGCCACTGTGGAGCAAATGAAGTGGAGCAAGTCCCCACTGCAGAATATTTTAAATGTGGCCATCAGAAGAACTGAATAAATGCTTGTTCTTCCATTATCACTCAGGTTATTGTAAATGTAAATGCTTTTTTCCCCATGCAATGGTTTTTCAGTGCTGCTGTCCTGTCATTGTGTCTTTCTATTGTGGTCTGTGTAGAGTACTTCAAGACACAAGCAGTTGCCTGGTCACCCTCAGCAAACTGTTGTTGTTAAGTCTTTGGCGTCACTCAGCCACCATTTGAGAACCATATTTTAGCAGGATGAAAAAAAAATGATTCAATACAGAATCAACACTGATGATGATGCTATTCACATTCAAATTAAATTAGAATCAGAAACAGAAGGCAATAAAGCTCACAGAGAGAGAACGTCTTTCTCTCAGACAAGCAGCAGAGCTTATTAAGACAGATTTGTTCACAAAATAAACATATGATTTGGAAAGCAACTTTCCCAGAACGCATCTCCTTGGCAATTAACAAAACTCACTTTAGCATAAAAAAATACATTAAGCCAGTTGTTCAGCATTAGCTGCACCATAAAGCCAAGTATATTACTATGCATTCCGGGAGTGGATGCGTGACATTAAAATTACTTCGGAAAATTCAGTGAAAATGTTAATATCAGGGTCAATTTACCACATTAATTAAGTACAAGTAATTATTAAGCTACTTTTTGAAATGTCTATTCAGTGAGTTGTCTTTCTACCCCACTATTGCATAATTTGCAGCAAATATCGATGTATGTGATTAATTGCAATTCATTTGATTATTTAATCATCATATTATATAATTAAAGGAATAGCACCCAACAATTTTAATTCTGTCATCATTTACACACCCTTGTTCAAAACCTGCATGAGTTTCTTTCTACAGTTGAACACAAAAGAAGATAATTTGAAGAATGTTGGTTAACAAACATTTGCTGAAAGCCATTGACTTCCATAAAAATTAATATGGAAGTAAATGGCTACCGTCAATTGTTACTTATTTTGTCTTCATCAGAAGAAAGAAACTAAAACAGGTTTTGAACGACTTGAAGGTGAGTAAATGATGACAGAATTTTCATTTTTGGGTGAAATTAATCTTTTAATCAATTTTCCTGCCCATTGCAAATAGCTGTAGTTACTTATTTTGTAAGTTAAGTTATTTTGAGAAAACAATCTGAAAGAATCTGGCTTGACAGTTTCTCTGTGATGCAGAGTTTTATTAGATGAGGCGTGTTTGTGTTAAAGTTTGTTTTTAGCAACACCATTCATTATAGTTTAGTGTTGAGCCATGAACTGTGCGTTGTAGAAGCGCATCACAGCTTGATGTATTCATTCAAGTCCAAATTGAGAGTGCATTAAAATAAACACAGTAGTGTTTATTGATCACAAACGCTAGTTAAACGCTAGGTAATGATGGCTTTTTAGCACTTCAGCTCTTGTCATTGTAAACATCATGTAGCAGAAAGAACAAACGAAAAGTTTTTTGTTTGGATTTTAAAACAAAAAATAACTGCAATTATCCTCTATATAGTGATATTTATGCAATACACACAATTCAGCATCCGAGCCAACTGGCACAAGGTACCGCTGGGACATGTGACAGATCCTAGGTAGTCTAAAACCACCCACTTACCTACAGTATCACACACACACACACAAAATGCCAGGCAGACGTGCGTTAGTTGCCCGCTATCTGTGCCATCTGTTTCCTACAGGATTGTTGATTTAATAATTAATACGTTCGCTCACATAGAAGAACATGTGGTGTCTGCATGGTGGTCACAGCTTAGGCAAATGTGGAAATGGAGCCAGCAGGGGAGGCTGCACTTGTATGGGTTTCGCCCTGGGGGACATACCAGGCAGGTCGAATAAATCTACAATCGCTGCACTCCAGGCTGAAAAGAAAAGACTAAGAGACGGTGCAGTGTGGCAGCTGTCACAGGATTCAAGCAGAATGGACTGACTTTCATAAACATTATCATAATGATGCTCATAATGTTGTGATATGTTTATATCTGACAATTGATGGATGTTTGTGCGGCTACAGGCAGTTTTGTGTTCCAGGGGATGATTTTTTTATTAAAACCAACAGATTTGTACTATTTTTCTCTCTAAATAACAAGGACGTATTAAGTTCTTGGAAACTTTTCATTATTTATTTTATCTCTACCTATGCCTTATTATATATAGATGTTATCCTTTTGCTCTCTAGACCAACATTTTCTATCTCAAAGTACAATAATATAATAATCAATAATATAATAATCATAATTGTTTTTCTTTTTTAAGTATTAAATATAGGAGTTCAGTATTGTTGTATGAAAATTAATTATATCAGTGTTTAAAGGAAACAAGTTTTGTACTTCCAGTGAAAAGCATGCTTGAAATTAAATATTGGACGTGCTATGTGCAAAAAAAAAAAAAAGTCAATGTATGAATATTTATTATGTGTCATTTGCAGTCATGCTGTAATTTTGTCAAAGTATTCAAAAACCATGACAATATTATTTAATTGTGTGTATTTAGGATATATAACATGCTAGGTACAAAGTTAGACTTTGTAAAACACAGGAGCCAGCCTCCAGAAATGTTTAAAATGTAACTTCCACCACAAAACAAATGGTGGAAATGGGATTTGTTCATGGTGGTTCTGGGGGGGAAAAATGACAGAATATGTCTGAATACGCTGTTGGACATTGTTAGTAGACAAATTATGTAAACTAATGAGTTTGAAATGTGTATTATAATGGTGGTGATCAAATTGTATTTTAATGACGTTTCTGTTAGTCCATGGGACCAAAAGTGCCCACAGATGAAGAAAAATCCAGTAACCAAAAAAAGTTTGTTGTGACATATGGTACATTTTGTTTTTAATATTTAGGGAACCAAACTTTCTGTCACTATTGACAATCACTAGACCTTGACTTGATTTTGAGGAACTTATTACCAGAACAGTTTATTGTTCATCTGTTTTTGAAGTATCATAACACTGAAGATAGCCAAGATCATCGTTTTTTTCTTGGGGAATTCAGAACTTTGTACATTCCTGTGTAACCTCTGACTCTTTGAAATGCAAAAGCTGGTGTCTTCCCCTCTAGAAGATTCAAAACACATTTTTGAAAACTAAGTTTGGGAGAGCCAAGGGTAGTCTGGGGATTGATTTAAGCAGTGAAAAGCTGCTTTGTCATTTACCGGTGAGATTTCCGAGCCAAAAACTGAATCACAAAAGGAGCACACAGCAATCCAGTGTCTCTCAGAAATAATAAGATTTCAATTTAAACCACTAAAGGAATCTCCACCGGCAGAGTGCAACAAGTTAATGAAGGCCAGTGACCGACTCAGGCCCTCTAGCCTGGCTTGTCTAAGATGATTTTAATCCAATTGCACAATTAACTCATTACCTTCAGATGTTCAGTGAGCCACAATATTTCGAGGTTTTTTATCTCATTTTTTTTTTGGTAAGGTTTTGCAAACAAAAAAAAAAAAAAATCACATATTGCCATTTATGCAGAAGAAACCTTTATTTTTAAGAGCGTATGATCACTTGCTTTGATTTTGTAATGGCATTCAGAAATGTTTAAGTGTCCAAAATACGTTTTAGTCTTGTAAATGCTTTTTCCAAGAGGAAATGTTGACATATCCAGCTAATAGTAGAATTTCCTGAGGATTTTGTAGTGGAAATGTTTTCGAAAGCATAATTACCTCATGACATTTTACACTGTTGTAAAAGGTTGAAGTTTCCGTCTGCTTTGCAGTCCTTTATAGACAGAAGTTTGAGAGCCAAGTCATCTCTAAAAGACTATGTTTCCTCTTTTCGACTGCCTAAAGTATTTTGCCACATAGGTGCTAAGATTGCTAAACCCTCATGCTCTCTCAACACAAGAAGGCACTCTACAGAGGAAAGTGCAACAAGAGGGCATCAACAATGCATCTGCCATTGCCTACAAGCTCCCTGTGGGGTCTGTAACAGATAGGGTGCAAATGCAAGAATGTAGTCAATCTCCTTCCAGCTAGCATCCGCAGAGAACGGCTCAATTTTTATGCAGCATTTCATGTATCTAGTGAAGTAGAAATTTCCAAAAAGCCTACAAGAGACTTTCCATTGTAAAAATACAAACTGACAGCAAAATTCTGAATGCGTAAGCAGGCATTCCCACAGGCTTTTCGGGTGCGAATCCATCTGCCTTTAGACGACTCGTAGTCTAGCCAGGAGACAGCAGCATCCCGAGGGGGAACATTTTGCTCTGTATTGGTGAGCATGCCATGGATGTGTTGGTGTGCCGAGCCTCCTCTTAAAATAGGGCAAGCGTGATACAATGCAGGGATCAGGAGAGGTTGCTTTGAAGAGCCCTTCTCTCAGGATTTAGTTAAAAGAAGTAGCATCAGAGGGGGAGAGTGTGGACCCCGACTAAATCCTAAATTATAGAAAAACGTGGAGGGTTCTTAGAGTCCTTTAGTCTGACAGTTGAAAGGGAGAGTTTAGAGGTAAAGTGTGTATTTCAGAGCAACTCTTAACAGAATTGTAATAGTTTAGTTTGAGAAGCCTGACTGGGCCAGACGTAATGCCATTGGCTCAACTAACACAGCGAGATTGGGGTAGGAGTTGGACCTGTTTCCTGGATCGTTGTTGTCTTTGAGATGTTGTGTGTGTGTGTGTGTGTGTGTGTGTGTGAGTGTGTGTGTGCGTGCGTGCGTGACTTTCTATTCAAGCAATTCTGAAAAAAATCTCATGACACCCTCATGACGTTCCAAACCACAAAAGAAGATATTTTAAAAATGTAAGTTAATGGGGTCCACTGTTGTTTTGGACCCCATTGGCTTTTATTGTTTCACAAAAACAGTAGGAAAACATCGATCAAAATACTTTCTTTTGTGTTTTTGTATGAATGTGTTGGAACAATATGAGGTTGGGTGAATAATTGAGACTAATTTTAGTGTAAACTATCCCTTTAAGTTGATATCAGATGCTTTTACACAAGGCATTTAAAATTGATTATATTGCTTTTCAGATGATGCACGCTTTGGCAGACATCTTGGCGACGTCTTTATGCATGTATCTGGGAAAGCAGAGATCAATCTTTATCTCTTATGGGGACTGCTATGTTATGTGGAGTAAAAAAATTATTAATTGTTCTCCAAATTCTCTTCTAATGGATTACCTCACCCCTAAAGCAATAAGCACGTCAGTCCTTGCAGTTTTTGATTGATTTGCCGTCTGAGCGGTTTCTGCTGGGTTAAATTGTGCTAGCTGGCTTGTTCATGAGCCTTTGTGGATTTGTAGGCACTGGATTGCAGAACTGCCTTTCCTCCCCCTGCTTAGACAGTCTGGTCCTCTGGTCTCAGTGGTCCGCAGGGTCTGCAGTGACCAGTGGGGGTTTGCAACACAGGCCCATCCTGTAGGAATTCAGCGACAGATTTTTGCACCAGGAGGACACAGTGAGGGGCAAGAGAAAAGAAAGGTGCTGGGCCTGCAATGAAAGAGCACATGATGCCTATATGCTCACACACACTAACCTGAGTGTTACGTGATCAACATATGCTTCATGGAATCATTTGGCCAGGCTATTAATATGTTTTTTTTCCACAAGCATAACATGTTAGCCCAAACATGGGCATAAGCTTCAGATTTATGTGAGTTGTTGTGCTATAAGCAGGCTACTGAGCCAAAGCTAATCGCTTAATTAAAGGAATTATGTCAGGTTGGCAATCATCATGATAGTGGAGTCCATGAACATCTGCCTCACTCATCACAGAGCGAAATATTCATAACAGTTGGAAACAGTTGCTGGTTGGATGCTGTTAGCATTAGTGTCAGGCAGAGTGGTGTAATGTGATCCTCATGTGCAAGGCTCATGATTACGAATGAGACTTTTTTTTTTTTTTTTTGCATGTGATTAGGTAAAGGGTCAGTCCATGTGTTGGCTGCTGTGTGATGTTAAGTTATTTATTTAATGCTTATTTTATCATTAATATCCACTGAGGCACACAAATCTAATCTGGCAGCACCAAATAAATGTAATAATCTAGAAAATTGAAAGATTAAAGGGTTTTAAAGGTAGCCAATCCAATCAGTAGTATGACGGGGGACTGCAATTTCTTAATGTAACACATTAAGATGCAATTGTCTTTTATTTAAAAAAAAAAAAAAAAAAGACACTTCATATTAAGGGAGTTTTATGTGAATAGTTTAAAGAAGAAAATATATCCTGTTTTGAAGATTGTTGACTAAGGATTATTTCAAATACCTGCCAGCTGAATAGCTGCCATTTGATTTTTTTTCAGTGGTCTTGACCCTGTTAGTTTTTTCTCTGAAAGCAATCAGTTTTTTCCATACTGTGCAACTGTGCAGTTTACATAAACACACGTACATAATTCAGTTAAAATAGTTAATAATTATACATATACTTGGAAAAAAAGACGTACAAATATATGTAAAAATATTAAGCAGCATTACTGTTTATGTTTTAAATGTTTTATTATAATTTTTTGAAAAAAGATGTAAAACTGAAAAATCAGTTTCCACAAAAATATGTGTAATTGAATTGAATATTTTAATTGAATGAATTAAATGTGCTTTGTTAATAAATCAAATTGCTTATAATTACTTTTAATTTGATATATTTTTATTTTATTATTTACTTATTATTTACATATTTACTTATTTATTTATTTACTTTATAACTAATTATATTAAATTATCACATTAAATTGACTGGATAATTAACAGGTAGCAAAATATCAGTTATAGAGTGCAGTCATCCTCATAGAGTTCCCAAGAGTCCTCTGGAACTTTTTTTTTCTCCTGCAGTTTTTTTTTCTTTCTCTCCCTGTAATGCCCCAGAAAGCTTTTAGGAGTTATTCCATGTTGGGATTTAGATGCCAGATATCTGCAGGACATCAGTCTCTCATCTTCCTAATGTGTTTCTATGTGTGTCTGTCCCTTGTGATCTTTCAGAAGAAGAGCAAGCTGCATTACCACATTGCAGTCATCATAAACTACCTGGGACACTGTATCTCTCTGGGAGCCCTGCTGATCGCGTTCATCCTCTTCATGAGGCTCAGGTGGGTGAGTGCCTCTGCTCTGAGGGGTTTTCAACAGAACTGAACATCTGCATTAGTCACACCGGTGGACTTGCATGAGAGAGATTCATGTATGAACCGCTGCTACTGCGTTGTGAAGTGAGTGGATGAATAAGTAACTGAGGATTCTCAGGAGTGTAAAAGATTGAGGGGGAAATTTATTGCTCAGGAGACCTAATGGAGTCATTGATTAGGTTTCACTTAAAGGTAAAGTGTGTCATTTTTGTGCCACCAACTAAATGGAATTGCAAAAATAATAACTTGATGTTTCAAACACACTTCTGCCAATGGTTGCAATCATATAGTCCTGCTCCAAGCACACACCATTGGCTCTCAAATGAAACAAAAAATTATTTGGGTTTTAACATGGTTGCAGATTTTTCTCCTTATTCATTAAGAAAATAGTAGAAATAGGGAAAATAGAGCAATAAATGATTGTATATATTAAGAAATCAGGAAGGGGGCCAACACTTTTTCACACCACTGTATATATATGTGTATATTTATATATATAAATATACAGGGGTGCACGTAAGTGGTACGCAGGTGTGCATGCACGACCAAAATAAAAAATTGCACTTTGTAAATAAGTTCAGAGTGCTCATTTGTGTACCGACATGGTTGACAGCTGTTAATGCACAATTGCAATTTTAGATCAACAAACTGTTATACTGTATAAGATTTCTTTTCAAACTGAGAGCATAAATCTAGGCTATCCACTGCCATTTTCAAAGCACAATGCAAAACTGTGACATTTCATTCATTGACGCTCTTCAATGGACAGCGCTAAACCTGGCAGCACATATACTTGCAGGCAACCCACCAAAATAAAAGCTAGCTGATTTTAATTTTGAAAATGATTAAAATGCATATATAAAAAAGTCAATATTAGCATTTTATTTTTAGGTTTACTATAAAATAATTGTATTTTTATTTAATGCTCCCTTTTTATTTTAAAATATAGGGTACAACGGGGCTAAAGGCCCACCTTAAGAAAAAATGTGTCATTCACTTCGCCTAAAATGTAGGGGTGGGAATCTTTAGTCACCTCACGATCCGATTCCGATTCTGGGAGTCACGATCCGATTCCAGAACGATTCTTGATCTACTTTTGTCCCCCCTTATTAATTAATTAGTTTACCGACTTGAGAATCTTAAAATCCTTACATTTACATATGCTTACATAAGTAATTAAGTACTTTTAAAAATAATTACAAATTGAAAAAAAATAATTAAAACAGTTGTATGTTAAGAATTGTAAACTAATATAACTTCAAAATAATTACAAATTGAAAAAAATAATTAAAACAGTTGTATGTTAAGAATTGTAAACTAATATAACTTCAAAACATACAAGCAAGTAGCAAATAATAAAGAGGAGCATAGAAACTTATTACAAACAACAAACAAAGAGTGCTTTCAGTATTTAAGATTATCTGAACGTTTTCCATTCAAGAACTGTGAGTGATTTTTCTTCATCTTTACTGTTGTTTTTTACTACGACATCATAGATATCGGGAGATCTATTAAGCTGCATTCACGCCCGGATCTCTTTTGAAATATAAGAAGTAATGTGGTTCACACTGGATACCAGACTGGGATACCGAAGGACTGACCTTGATAATCTGGGTGCAACAGACAGGACGTGATGTGACTCTGGATGATCAGCTGTGAATTGACTTAACTCAGGGAGATCAGTGGTAGCATGACACGGCTTTGTTGTTGACGCCATTTTGTGAGCAAGCTCTGGTTCAGCCGCCATTACAGGCACAGACACGGTGTTGTGTTCCTCCTCAGCAAAACCCTCAGGGAACACAGGGTCAGCAGTCAGCAAAGCATAGTCTATAAAGTCCTTTAAACTACAATGAAATCTA